AGCTTGATCAGGAGCCAGAGAGGCCGTTTGTGGGCGATGACTTGGGGTTTCCTTGGGGTGGGGAGGACTGGCCCTGCTCCACCCCCATCCCCTGAGGCCCTGCGTGTCTCGTCACTGGGGGCTCAAAACTGACTGACCTCAAACCCACTGGCCTCTGAAGGATGGCAGCCACTGGGCCGCCAGGGGGAACAGGCCAAGGCATGAAACCTATTCCCACCTGGGTTTGCCCAGCACCGGCAACCTACTGCAGGGACTGGACACACTTCTGCCAAAAGGCACTGGGTTTTGAGATTCGTTTCTGAGTCTCTGGGATCATGGCCATTAAGCAGTTCAATCAGGAACCAGAGAGGTCATGCATCCAATTATATAGCTGAGCCAGAGGTGGTTTGTGGGTGTGTTTCCCACATACCTAACTTTTGGCCGTTTACTTTCTTGGTAAACTTTGTCCCAAGTTTTTGGGGTCTGGCCAGAGGCACAGCAGCAATTTTGGGGTATCTGGAAGTCTGAAGGCGCCATCAGGCTGTTGATGCACTTGCCTCACAGGTACAGAATGACCTGCTGGCGGCACCATACCCCTATGTTGCACCATACCCCTATGTTGGCTCGGTGGCCATCATCCTCCAGAGTCCACTGGACAGTCAGGTCTGGGCCCGCAGTGATGAAACTTGTTGGGCCTCACAGGATGGGGGTGGAGCCAGTCCTGGCCTCCCCATCCCAAAGAGACCCCAAGTCATCCCCACGAACAGCCTCTCTGGCTCCTGATCAAGCTGCTCAATGGGAATGATCCCAGAGACTCAGGAGCAAATATCAAAACCCAGCAGGTTTTGGCAGAAATCCCTCTAGATTTAAGTGTTAAAATTTCGGAATTTCAAAATCACATGGCCCTACTGCAGCCACGCGACATCATATGTTATTCATAACCAGCAATAGAGCACAAATTGTCTACTGTTTATGTAGCAAATACATAAATAGGCATGATAGGAATGCATCTTTTTAGCAGATCCTAGTAAGGTAAAGGTAAAGGCCCTCCCGTTGATCGTCGATTTGCTCGAGCGGGCCCAGTAACGTCTCCATTGGAGACTTTGTTGTTACTGTGTTTGGCATATCGAATACTCTCGGTAGCTTGCCAGGCTCTCAGAGAGGGGTGGAGGAATTGAACTCGGGTCGGCCATGTTGGCCGCTTGTAAGGCGAACGCCCTACCCGCTGTGCTATCGCTCCAGCCCAGATCCTAGTGTTGGGGTAAAATCTCAAATAATAATGGTGGGTCTGGTGTCGAAATATTGAATATGACCAAAGTAGAGAGAGAGAGTAAAGTAGAAATCATCTGCCCCACAGGTAGGGGGAGGGTGTGGGAAGGGAAAATACTGGGGGTTTTGGTGGTGGAGAATGGGCACTTGGTGAAGGTACGGGTGTTTCATTGTATGACCGAGACTTATACCCGAAAGCTTTGTAACTGCTCTCACGGTGATTCAATAAATAAAATTATAAAAAATGAAAAAAAAATCGTGGAGTTCATGCACAATTCAATCAGCTAATCAGTGGCTGAATAAATAGCAGTACTCCTACATAAAATAAATAAATAAATAAATAAAAATAAAATACTTGAAAATCTTACCTCTACAGATCTTTGTTTAATATAATTTTTAAAAATTATAATCTAAAGATTTTTTAGGTGCTTCTTACATTCTTTTCTCTCCAAAATATCATTTTTTTTAAAATTGAGATCCTTGAGATCTTTCAATACTCTAATCGCACCTTAATTTGTCCACAGTCTAACCATCTTCTTCCTTGTCTGCTATTAAGCTAGCAGGGTTATTTTTCCAAACACAGATCTGTCAGTTTTTCCTCTAATTATGGCTTCTCAATGGTGACCACTGTCCAGAGGATTAGCAAATACATAAATAGGCATGACAGGAATGCATCTTTCTGCAGTCTAGAACAGACACCACTATTCACCTGCAGAACCCTTCTTCATGCAGATCCCCAGACAGCTAAGTATTCACACAAGATGGAGGATATTCACTGACATTCTGGCTCTACCCTGCCTTCCAGGCTCATATTCTATTACTTTCACAACTCATACTGTGAATATTTCCCTCACATGCCACTTCTTTCAGGAAACTTTACATGTACATGCTTATTATTATCTAATTATTCTCAAAGTTTTTACTGGATCTGTTCAATTCTTACTAACCCTTCCAATTTGAGTTCAAATAAGACTTCCAATGGGAAATTCTTCCTGAGCAGTCCAGTATAAGATGGCAAAAACAAAACATTTTTTACTTGTGTTCATATTAGCCTTGTGGGCTGAGAACATATCTCAGTTATATTTACATCTTACTTGGAAGTTACTATAGTTGTTTGAACCACAGTAGATGCATAATTAACTCTTTTTTATGAATACAAGACTGAACAGATGTTAGCTAAATGGAATGCCTTTGACTATATCTGGGAACTTTAGAACTCAAAGCAACGATCTTAGCTCTACCTTGACTGGAAACATCAGGGAAGTTCAGAATTTCATTGATAGAAAACAATAATAATAATAGAGTAGTAATGAAAATAACAATAGCTAAAATTATCAGATGACTTTACTGTGCCAAAACAAAAATGAATTTTTTAAAAACTTATAGAATAAGCAGAGTAAAGATAATTCTAAGTACCAAAGAGTCACACTTTAATATGTTATCCAAAAGTATGACAACAATCAAAATTCCACTAAAAGAGTTTTCGACAATTTATCAATACAAAGGGGTAAGAGTCAAAGGAAAGATAAAGAAAAGACAAATCTACAAATATATCTGGGATGTGCTGTGATTAATATATATTTTTTCTGAGATAATTCTAAAATGGTTATAATTAATATTACCCTAGGGAATTTATTTCCTGGTCAAAATACATAGTTGAGAATTATCTAAGGATAGAGTCCCCGAGATTGGTCACAGAGGTTAATCACAGGGTCTGGGGGAAAAAATAAATGTTAGGTGACAAAAATTTGAGAGCTTGAGAAATATTAATTAATAGATACTCCTCTTAGATGTTTGCAATGTATACTAATACGTTGGGGCTAAGAATATAATATGTAAACCTCTGGTATGAATTAACTGAGAATTCTCTGCATTTATTTGACTAGCAATAGAATGTCTCATTTTTTATTTCTCTGGGATTAGTACAGGGAAATATTGGTATTGGAAGTTCCTAGAAATTGTTCCTCTCTCTGCACTTGGTTCCTGGCACTGGGCACATGCAAAATGAATTGCTCTGAAAACCTATCTGATTTAGGGACAGCAAGATTGTCTATGATCTGTGCCAGAAGAGACTCGTGCCTAGTATTATCATTTACATGATAAAAATTGAACCCTATATGAAGGCTTGGGAGAAAAAGGCCAACACTTAATCAGCTATTTGAATTAACAGTTTAGTTATTATGGCTGTCTCAGACAGTCATAGAAATTTATATTTTCATTTTATCCTAAAGAAAAAAACTTGACCATCTTTCTTTAATACTATCAACCTGGAAGCTTGACAGTAAGGATTAAAAATTGCTCCTTCCTTCCCTCTTGGTTATTGGAAAGCCTCTGAAAGGTAATCAGTCTTGTGAAGCTACACTTTACAGTCTGCATAAAAATGCCATGATTTCCCTTCCTCTCCCCAACCTAATTGAAAGTGCATAATATTACCCAGCTGGGGAAATGTAAATGGTAAACATGTGCAATATATCACACCATCACACAAAAGCTAGTTACTAATAGTGACTAGGTGGTTGCCAGGCCCCAAAGAAATCTGGGACACGGTCTTTTTAACACCCAGAATGAAAGTTCTTTGTGCCTGCTATCCTTCCTTCTCCACCTCGTCTCCCACTTACCCTCATCTCTTTGGATTTTAAGTTACAGCTAGATTAAAACAAGGCCAGTCAATTCATTTCCAGCATGTGTGATTCCAAGGATCACCTAAAAATGTATATTGACTAAAACATTTATATTAGTCTTTCAAGAGAAGAAACATTTTTACTCTGGCAGGAGGAGGGGCTGGAATTTTCTTGTTTTCAACGTACTTCAGTTGTACTGACAAGATGGTTCTATAATCTTTCCTCTAGTTTCTAAATCTAAAGATTCTTGGCCTTGTCACCTCTTATCTCTTTTTTACTTCATCAAACTTCTATTGCCAAGATTATCTCTTTGGATGCGTGCCGAAACTAGACTATAGACCGAATACAATGGCCACTCAATACCTCTATTGCAAACTACAACACCCAAAAGGAGAGAGAGAACAAAAGGGAATGCCCTGCTATAGAGGCGGGGTGGGGTGGGAGGGAAAGGGGTTGAGGTGGTGGGAGGGATATTGGGAACACTGGTGGAGGAGAATGGGCACTGGAAGAGGGATGGGTAAATGATTATTGTATGACTGAAATACAAAAGTTTTATAAGTTTGTAACTTACCTCACGGTTATTCACTAATTAAAAAAAAAAGATTATCTCTTTAGGGGTTTGTTGATGTTTTTTTAACCTCTGATTATCCATGAGTACCTACACAGGAAGATCTTTTTCTCAAGTATTAAACCCTATCTCCCCATCTCACTTTTCAAGGTCCTTTGCAACATTCCTCCCCCTTAGAAGTCATCATTCTCTGTCTCCTCATGTCCAAGTATCATGCCATCCTTTAGAGTAAGTCATTCATAGTAGGAATTCAGAGAAGGGGCTATTTTCCTTTAAAGTTATCATCATTAGTTCTCTGTCACATTATTTTTTCCAAAGTTTGTTCCCTGTTTCCCCATAAACTCATCTGCTGCTATTCATTTATACTGTCCTTATAGCTGGCTATTGTTTTGTTTTTGATGACTGATACTTTACAGGTAAGTCAAAGCATAGCAATTGTCAAAGATTCTCTGTCACTTCAGTTTTAATAGATTGAAAGATGTATTTTTAACTGCTTCAGCAGTAGAGATGATTTGAAACATGGTGAATAAAAAGTATATGTACCTTACAATAAGTTTTATTACCTGTCTACTGGCACTGGTGGGTGATATGGCTTGTTGACCTTGGCATAGAGACCCTCTAAGTGATCTCTTTCTGGAGATAGTGGACGGCCATCCCGAGGGTAACCCAATGGTCCAGCCCGAGGTGGAGATGGAGACCTATAGACATTTGCAGATGCGCATGGCTCCCGGAAGTGGTTTACTCTGGCGTAATTGGGATCTATTTCATCGTCATCCATATCATGCAAGGATCCAGTTACCCCAGTAGCAAAATCACCAGAACCTCTTGTCTGCTTTTCCCTTAGCTCCTGATGTTTTGCTCCAATCCTGAAAAAATGAACAGAGATATATGTAAGAGATATATGTTAATAGAATGATATATTGTCCTGAATATTCCACACTAGCACTCTTTAGTCACTTGACTATTATTTTACTGTTTATCAAGAATATACCACAGAAAAATATCAACAGTATATTTTATAGGAATAATTATATATTTCGAGCTTTATTTGTTACTAGTCTTTATATTTACAGCAACATTGTGACATCTTGCGCATTAATGACTTATCCAATTGCATAGTCTGAGCTGATTTTTATTAACATCCTCTCCTTATAAGTGGAATGTGCTTGGTATCATAGTCTGGAAGATTTTATTGAAAGAGAAATTCATGTTTAAGAGTCCATCCAAAACTTGCATTTTTATATGATTTCACTATTTGGTTCTATAGAGATGCAGTATATTCCTATAAATAAAGAAACTTGCAAAATTGATTTAAATACAAAAAAGGAATTGAGAGGCTTTTGGATCACTAAAAGCAGTGGGATCAGAGGTAATTTATAAGAGACTCTTAAGTTTTTGGTTACACAAATGGGAATCATTGTGTCTCATTATATAGGGACTAGAGACAGCATAAAATAGTGAAGAAATTAATAGGCTTCTGACAGAGATGAATTGATGCATATAAGTGAATTAAACACCATTACTGGCAGAATTCCACGGTACTAAAGCCTTAAGTGATATTACAAAATGCTACTGCTAATCAGTGTACTATGTAGACTACTGGGAATGGGAGCAGAAAATATACTTAGGTAGATTCCAAATTCATCTGAATTTTGAAATTTTGACATTTAATCTGGAAAGTGTTAGATTAGCTCCCCAAATTCCCAGCTATTTGTAAAAATGGAAAGGTCACTGTGAGATCTCTCTGCACAATGGTGATCTGATAGTGTTGGAAAGTGTTTGGCACCAATGAGAAAATAATATAATATTATATCAGTGGGAAAACAACATGTATTGTTCTTTAGAGTGACAGAAGAGAATGAGGCTGAGGTGACCAAAGAAAGATTCTCAAGAAAGGATGGGGACAAGTCTGAAATCCTGGGCCCAGGGGGAATATACGAAGGATGTGTGGTAGAAAAAAAGAAGATTTATATATGCTTGGAGACATACAGAGAAGACTTGGGTGAGTTAAAAAAGAAAGAGCTTGCTTAGTATTTTCTCCTCTTAAAACAAAACAGCTGTTTTTGCACATGGAAGATAGTTTTATTTTATAGAATATTCAATTTTTTTGCAAAAAAAAGCCACAACGTTAAAAGTCATGATATTTCAAGGTGTCTTCTATTGTTAGAAGTTATATTTTTATTAGAGAGAAGGAAATATGAAAAAAAGGGAAAAACATAAAGAAGGCAGTATATGTTAAAATCAGCAACAACAAAAATCATAACTTCTTCAATGCCCAACAGATGAAAATGAATTATTGCAGGATAGATTATTGCATGACTCTTTTGACTCATTTATCCTACACAAAAGTAATCCAGTGTATTTATATTTTTGTAAATGGAAGATTGAATCTCCAAGGGATTTTGAATGAACATGAAAGGGAGTTCTAGAAGGCTACGCATTCAGAGGCCTTGCCTGCCATCTTTCAAAGCAGTTAGTTCTAGATTCATAGATGTTTGTTTTGAATATTTTTAAAATAAGATGATAACCTGTTTCATTGTGCAGCAAAGCAAGTTTCCTAGGGACAGTGTGGACAAAATTATCAGAGATTGCTTGCTGTACTGTAATGATCAGGATAGATTTCCATTGCAAACAGAATGAAAGGCACCAATAAAGTAGTGGATACTATGCCTTCTAAGTGAGTATCTTCAAAAGAAATCACTCAGCATAAAGATGAATGACTAAGTGCTTTTGCTCAGTGCTAAATGTTTGTGCTAGTGAAACAAGAAAACATCAAGCTGGATATATATATATATATATATATATATATATATATATATATATATATATAAAACGTTCATATTTGAGTTCCTTATTTCATCACTACTTTTTTTCTTTGATGTTTTCTCACTAATTTTGCTTGCTGAGTCTGTAAATATTTTTAGATGAAAAGTACTCCCTATATGGAAAACATTTTCCTTTGTAAAACAAAACTAAATCTCTCACTGCTTTTCTCTGCATCACTGGGTGTGTCAGTAAATAATTTCGTACTAATCACTCAGTGGGTGAAACAGTAATTTCTCTAAACCATCACTATTATGCTATATGTTGAGGATCTCTCCATGGGGAGCAGGATAGGACAATCTCTTAAAAAGACATATGGAAGCAAAAGAAAATCTCTGGTGAGAGAAAAATCAGAAAAATAGATTCTGTTTGGTAGTTCTCTGACCTTCGGTGAGAGAATGCTATGTGCACAGTCATTTCCAGTTGAAAGACTTACTACTAGGGAATCAAATTATTACAAAAATCTATTTTTCAGGGCTAGAGCGATAGCACAGCGGGTAGGGTGTTTGCCTTGCATGTGGCAAAGCCGGCTGACTGGAGTTCGATTCCTCAGCCTTCGATTCCTCCTCCTCTCTCGGAGAGCCCAGCAAGCTACTGAGAGTATCTTGCCCACACAGCAAAGCCTGGCAAGCTACCCGTGACCATTCAATATGCCAAACACAGTAACAACAAGTTTCACAATGTTACTGGGCCCGCTTGAGCAAATTGATGAACAACGGGAGGACAGTGACAGTGACAGTATGACAATTTTTCAGGGTAGGAGTAGTCTGTAGGGCTACTTGCATACAGGTGAACTGAATTTAATTCCTGGTACCCTCTATGGTGCCTGGAATATCACCATGAATGATTCCTGGACGCAGAACCAGGAGTAAGCCCTGGGTACCACTAGGTATGACCTAAAAACAAAAGAAGAAAGAAAGAAAAGGAGGGAAGGAGGAAGGAGGGAAGGAGGAAGGGAGGGAAAAAGGGAGGAAGGGAGGAAGGAAGGAAGGAAGGGAGGAAGGAAGGAAGGAAGGAAGGAAGGAAGGAGTTTATTTTTCAAAATAAATGCTTTTCATTGATGCTATCACCAGCCTTTCATTCTTTCCCCGTATATTGCCTTTGCATTGTTTAAATTTTCTCTTTATCTTTTCCCTTAAGAAACAACCCTTTTTCCCCAATACATCTCTTGAATATGTTATTTTAATGTCCATTTTTTTAAATCATAGTCCAGAGTTCAGGCTTTAGATAGCGTCAATCTGCAATGTCAAATATGCTGCTCATTAGCCATATGGTTCATATACGCAAATTTGAATAACTGCAATGAAATGAAATTAAATATTCAGCTCCTACATGTTGCAAATCACATTTCAAATGCTCAATAGGCCTCTCTGTTTCATGACCACTATATCAGACAGTAAAAGTATAAAATTATTCCATAACTGAAGGAAGTCCTATTGAACTATGTTAAACTAGAGTATTCTTAGCATTTTTCCTTTATGTTGTTATGACCCCCTTTAATCTATGTGTTAAAAATCATACTCAAAATGCATTTCTATGATGTATCTGTGTCACAGAAAGGTCTTTAATAGGACACTAGAAAGTAATGGAACAGAGTATGGTTACTCTGCTTAAAAATACACTGTATCCTTGAAATGCCATATGAACAAAATAGTGAAAATTTGAGTAGAAAAATTCCATCTATCGGGGAAGAAGGAAAAGGGCCATAAAATCTTAGATGTGCTATAAAATTTGAACTAAAGCCAAATTTAGACTTAGTTCAACCCAAATTTCATGCAGTGAAATTTGAACTTGACCTATATTTGGCAGTGTACCAAAAATTGATATGTCTACTTTAGTAGCAAGACACATATTTCACTAAAAGCCACAGAGAGAGAAGAGGAGAATATGAAAAAAGTGGTATGATCCTGTAACTTTAGGGTAAATTTTCATGAGATTCCAACTTTAGAATGGAGGAAAAAGAGGGATTTTTAAGAGAGAAAATCATACTGAAAGATAGTTCCTCCTACCCTGAAAGAACTTCACAAAGTACCTGAGATAGCTCAGTGATACACTGGCCATCTTGTAGACATAAGATTGTGAGTCTGTACCTGGCAGGGGACCAAGAGTTTAATGAACCCCAGTGCCCTGCTGCCTGAGACCCAGGTACCACAAAGACATGGTCTTCAGGGCAATGTAACCAAATGTGTGAACACTATAACCAAGTATGTGTAACACTCCCCACCCATCCTCACAACTATGTGCACATCAAAGCAAGGAGAATATGAATGCTTAAAAATACATTGGCTAACCCTAGGGTGGAAAGGGTGTTGTCCCTCCACCTGGTCCCCCTAGGTGGCTCGGTGGCCGCCATCCTCCAAAGGCCACTGGCCAGTCAGGTTTGGGCCCTCAGTGACAAGACATGCGGGGCCTCACGAGATGGGGGTGGAGCCGGCCCTTTCCTCCTCGTCCCAATGAGACCCTGAGTCTCCGCCCATGAATGGCCTTTCTGGATCCTGATCATTGCTTAACGGCCATGATTCCAGAGACTCAAGAACAAATCTTGGAACCCAGCAGGTTTTGGCAGAAATCCCTCTAGATTTAAGTGTTAAAATCTCCAAATTTCAAAATCACGCAGCCACTACTGCAGCCACGTGACAACATATGTTATTCTTAACCAGCAATAGAAAACAAATTGTCTACTGTTGCCTTTTCAGCATATCTGAGTGTTGGGGTAAAATCCCAAGTAATAATGGTGAATCTGGTGTCAAAATATTGAATGTGATCAAAGTAGAGAGAGAGTAATGTGAAAATCATATCTGCCCCACAGGTAGGGGGAAGGTGTGGGATGGGGGTATACTGGGGTTTTTGGTGGTGGAGAATGGGCACTGGTGAAGGTACGGGTGTTTCATTGTATGAGCGAGACTTAAACCCAAAAGCTTTGTAACTGGTCTCAAGGTGATTTAATAAATAAAATTATAAAAATTTTTTAAAAAGTAAGGTGAAGTTCATATCCAATTCAATCAGCTAATCAGAGGCTGAATAAATACTCATATATAAAAAA